TCTCTGACATCTGACCATACTGAATTAGAAGAATGCCATTGAAAGGTGATGCTGTAAGGTCACAGTCATTTCTGGAAGAGAAGACGGTTGTTCTTCCCAAGGAGATGCATAAACAGCTCTCTGGAAATTCTGGTTAAGGGAAAGCAGAGAAACAGTGGAAGGCTAGAGAATCTGATTTCTCTCTTCATTCATTCTCTTGCCACAATACACAGAGCACATTGTCATCCCCTAATAACAAGTACAGAGAATAGTGCCCTGAGTAGGTCATTGTTTCTGTGGTTGGTTAATTGGTTAGTTCTGGGGCCTCCTGGCAGTATTTGGGGGACTGTGCATTGCTGAGGTCGAACCTGGGCCCCACGTTAAGTAGAATGCCCTCAGACCTTCCAAGCTCTCTCGAACTTAGGTGGTCTTCTCTCTCCCTCTCTCTCCCCCTCTCTCTCCCCCTCTCTCCCTCTCTCTCTCTCTCTCTCTCTCTCCTCTCTCCTCTTTCTCCTCTCTCTCTCTATTTCATTGAGGTGAGCAAGTTTCCTGGTTAGCAGGAGGAAAAAGGTGTCAGCCTTCTTGTCCATTTGACCTGGACAGTACAGATTTGCATAATGTGGATATTGGTTCATTGAACCTATAGATGCTGAGCCCATAGATATGGAAGAAATGGTGTGGGGGGGCAAGTTTTTGTAAGTGATACGGGAATTTTCAGGTGCAGGGTATGTTGTGCAGGGTGGGTGCAGTTGACTCTCCTTATGCCAGCATTGTGTAAGGACCACCTGTATTTGACCTGCTATATTGTCCCTCCATTGACTTAGGAGGGTGTTCTTAGTCTGCCTGTGGTTACTTGCACTCTCTCCACTCTAGCAGTCCATATGTCAGGCACAATTTTGCAGGTCTACTCCATGCTTAGCAATATTTCTTTTAGGTATTGAACATTAACGTCACAAATACTTTTAAAGGACCTGCATAGAAAGCAAAGCTATGGCTCAATCCTTGGTTCACTTGGCACCAAAATAGGTTTTTTCCAAAGTCCTGAACCTTAGTGAGAGTTGAATTTTATTTACCATGGGTCACACTCTTTCATTATATTTCTACCATCAACCTGTAGAATAAGCAATAATCCAGTTTGTTCCATCTAACTAATGGAGAGAGAAACAAAGACCTTGTCCAGGTTCAGACCCAGTAATGCTTGTGGTTTTGCAGCTTGCTCTCAGGCCAGCCTTCCTTGATTTGTGAAAGAAATGGAGCCGAAAATTCATGTACTCTCTCAGTAGTTACTAAACATTGGAAATGGAGTTCAGTGGGAAAGATGAATGGGGATAATCATGAAAATTATCTAAAGAGCCTTTATCTTCTTTCCTTCTTTTAACTGCTGTTATCTGTTTCAAACCATCCAGAGATTAATTTCTCTCTTGACTGGGAGTTGGGCGGGGTGAAAGCAGAATGGCATGGAAATGGGAACAGGGTGGTTACATCTCTTTGGGAGAACGGGATATTGGCCATATGGTACAAGCATTCATTGTGAAAGGAATCCCTAAATCCCTACCCCAAGCCTGGATACCAACTGATAGTCATGTCAAAGAAGCTCAACTACTAAAGACCATTGAATTGCAATCTTCAAAAGAATAATAAGCAATTAATAGCAACCAAACCAGGGCTATAGCTCAATAAAAGCTTGTGTGCTATAAATTTGATCCCAGGATTTGGCTCCTGGCACCAAGCAAAATAAAATAGCAACCGAAACCATACTTTGTTGAGACTGAATTTGGAGTATTCTGTTTTGTTTTGTTGGTAAGTTTACACCAGTTGTCAACAGGGCTGAGAAGGGGCTTCCAGTCAGTGGTGGAAATGGACAGCCCTTGAGCCCAGCCATCAAGTCAGGCCTTTAGTTATTTTCCCAGTTCTCCACAGATCTTGCTTCCTACATTCAGGAGTGAGTCTGAATTCCTTCTGTGCTTATTCTCTTGAAAGATCAAGTTTAGCTTACAAATGCAGTAACACAGAGCCAGAGAGAGTACAGCAGGTATGACAATCGCACACAAACAGAAGTGGGCAGAGAGCCATAGTGCAGTCGGCAGGGTGCTTGCCTTGTGTGCAGCCAACCTGGATTTGATCCCTGCCACCCCAAATGGTGCCCCAAACACTGCCAGGAGTGGTCCCTGAGCACAGAGCCAGGAATAAGCCGTGCGCATTGCAGGGGTGGCCTCTAACCCAAAACAACTCAGTAACATGCCCCAGGTTAAACCAGCCTGCCAGCCAAAGTACACCACAAGATCGGAAGTCAGAAATTTCTGCTAATTCTAGTTGTTCTGGTTTTGTTTTCTTTGCTGTTTGGACCACACTGACTATGTTCAGGGCTTACTCCAACTTTACTGGGAAAGAAAGATCCATATTCTTCTTCTTTTTGTTTGGCTTAGGGACTGATGCCTGCCTGTGTTGGGGGTTGGGGTGTAGGGGACTCTCCTGTATGTGCTTTCAGGGGACTTTAGGGTGCCGGGAATTGAACCCAGCTTTCTGCATTGTCTCCAGCCCTTTTTATCCTCTCTTGCCTCAAGACTGTTCTGAGTTAGGGCCAGAGTGATAATACAGGGGGTAAGGTACTTGCCCTGTACGGAACCTATATGGAACCCCATATCATTCCCCAAGCCCCACCAGGAGTGATCCCTGAGTGCAGAGCCAGCAGTAAGCCCTGAGTACTGCTGGGTGTGGCCCAAAAACAAACCACAAAAGACGGCTCTGAGATCTTAGTAAGAAGAGAAAGCCCAGATGGAGGATCAAGGTGGCCTCACCCGAGACTCTCAGGAGGGAGCGGCCCTGGGCAGGCTGTGCCTTCTTAGATTTTGCGTGCTATTTGCTTTTTGGTACTGACACCCCTCAGAGAAGTCTAGCCCAGGTGGCTGCATCACAGGCATTGATGCAGCTACTCGGAGTACAGGGTTCACTTGGGAAAGTGTGTTGAGGAATTCTGTCTCTCCCCACCCTTCCCCCTCTCTCTCTCCCTCCTTCCCTCCCTCCCTCTCTCTCTCTCTCTCTCTCTCCTCCCCCCGCCCCCCCAGCCTCTCACTGCCTTCGGTTTCCCAGTCACGAACACAGTTGCACAGTTGCTCTGTGGTTCATTGCTGTTGCTGGGTACCAGTCCTTCTGCCAGCACAGCTGACATGAAATCAGAAGAAAACTGACCTTAGCAGGTAGGAGGGCGGGGACCTGAGCCAGGCCTTTGTACTACTTGTCCCTTTCCTCCAAACTCAGGACACAGCCTTCCCTGTGTTCTCCACTTCCCTATGTTCTCTCACTTTCTCCTCAACAGTTCTTAGCAGGCAGAAGTATTTTTTCAATCTGGTCCAGTCTGCCCTGGCACAGAGAGAATCGGTAAGGGACACGTCCCCAGGGCACCTCTGTGCCCCTCAGGAGTCCTTCCTCAGCTTCTGATGGGATCTTCCGGCCTTGTTGCCCTCACCTTCTGCATAGCAAAGCCTCCCCAGCTCTCTGTCACATCTCACTAGCAGCCTGCTGCCTGGGAGCGCTCCAGTATCTGTGGCCTCCCACCCAGGCCCCTGCAAGCCACAGAGTAGCTGTCACCCAGTTGCTCTCCTGTCCTCTCCTTTTGGCCCAGCTCACTTCTAACTTGGTGTGCCCAGTTTTGATTCCGGGTCTTGTTCGCTGATGTCACACATCAGGGGCTGGCTTTGGTAGCCCTTCCTCCTGGCACTACAAAGATTCAAAGTCCTTGAGGCAGCAACAGTCTAGACCCACCCTGAAAGAGAATCAGAAGCACGGCTGGGGAGGACCCCCGTCACCAGAGCACAAGAGGTGTCTAGAAAGTATTCCCTGTGTTCCTCGTCTGGGATGCCCAAGAATTCAGTCCAGAAAACAGAGGAGAACTGAGCTGGCATTGAGGAAAACAAGTGGCAGATGGTACTAGGAACATCCCGGGACTGAAGAAATGTGGTTCTCAGAAAGAGAAAAGGAGGGAGACGTAATTCAGACTTACTCAGCAACCAGGTCGCCCTGGTCAGAGAGGGCTACAGAGACGGCTGAGCACATTCTGGCACAGGGGCACTAGGGAGCCATGTTGCCTCTTCGCTCCTTACCACGCTAGACAGGATGGAAAGGCCTTGAACAGGACAGGATGGAAAATGGTTCTCAGAAAAAAAAAAAGTGGGAGGGTTGGAGTGATAGCACAGCAGGTAGTGCGTTTGCCTTGCACACGGCCAACCCAGGTTCGATTCCCAGCATCCCATATGGTCCCCCAAACACCGCCAGGAGTAATTCCCGAGTGCAGAGCCAGGAGTAATCCCGGAGCATTGCTGGGTGAGACCAAAAAGGAAAAAAAAAGTGGTTTTCAGGCTGGAGGCTCTGATAGAGTATATTCTGTGTATGTGTGTGCTCTGGGTTCAAGCCCTGGCTTTGCAAGTAACTTTAAAAACAATGGGGGCTAGAACGGTAGTACAGCAGGTAAGGCAAAATTTGCCTTGCACAAGGCCGAACTGTGTTCAATCCCTGACATCCCATATGGCCCCCCAAGCACTGCCAGGAGTAATTCCTGAGTGCAGAATTAGGAATAACCCCTGAGCATTGCCAGGTGTGGCCCAGAAACAAAACGAAACAACAGCCAAAAAAACCCTACCAAAAATAATAATAATAATAATAATAAGCATTGCCAGGTGTGGCCCAGAAACAAAACAACAGCTAAAAAGACCCTACCAAAAATAATAATAATGATAATAATGATAAAATGGTCCCAGGCCAGGGATGTGGCTCAGTAATGAAGTTTTGTGTATTTGAGACCTGAGTTCAATCAGTGCACTGCAGAATGAAAGAGGAAGGAAGCAGGAAGAGAAGGAAACCTGAGGAATTGCTCCCTGTGGCCAGACTTTTCCAGAACCAATTTCCTTGAGGCGGATCGCCCCAGACTGAATCCCACCCAGTCACAGGGGGCAGTCATAGGGGCAGGGAGCAGGGCCAGGCCCTCGGGTTTCATTAACGTGAGTCTTGTCTGGCTCTGCCCCCAGGTGCTGGAGGTGGTGCGCACCAACTATGACACCCTCACCCTGAAGCTGCAGGACGGCCTGGATCAGTACGAGCGCTACTCGGAGCAGCACAAGGAAGCTGCCTTCTTCAAAGAGCTGGTGAGGCTGCCCGCGTCTCTCGGTACTGCAGCGGCAATATGCTGAAGGCGGCTGGGACGACTTAGGGCATCTGCTGGCACCAGTTCTGGGCCTGAGAGAGAGAGAAAAGCTACTGCCAAGGGCACCTGTGCCACCAGGTGGGGGCGGGGGTGAGAGCCTGAGGTGGCACTGGCATTGCTCACTTGGAGGCCACAGGCACTGTGCATGGCCCTGCTCCAGCTAGGCCTGGGCTTGGACCTGGCTCATCACTCAGTTCCCAGTCCTCAGAGGAACCAGTGGGGGCTTGGGGGCAGTACAGCAGGCAGCGCTCTTGCCTGCCTTGAACACGGCCGACCGACACCAGATTCTGCTCAGACCCCATTGCTCGTCAGCATCTCCGCAGAACTCCATTTGCCCAGGTTTTGGGGGTTTTGTTTGATTTTGGTTTGCGACCTCATGTAGCACCTGGGGTTCAAACCAGGATCAGCTGAAGCAAAGCAAATGTCTTAACCCCAGCACTGTCTTTCCGGGCCCCCTGCCCCTGTTTTTTTTCTGTGGGTCTTTGGGTCACAACCAGCTGTGCTTAGGGCTTACTCCTGGTTGTCTGCTCAGGGAACACTCTTGGTGGAGATTAGGCACCATGTATTTTTCTGGGGGTCGAACCTGCCCTGCCACCTGCAAGACAAGTGCCCTATCTTTTCTTTCTGGACCCTCTCCTTGGTTTTTAGTTCTTTTGTGGGTTTTTTATTTCCTTGAGGGCGGGAGATGCCCACACCCATAGAGGATGCTTCCTGCAGTACTGGGAGGCCATGATGGAGCGTCCAAACCCAGAACTCTGAGCCCTCTCCCGGGGCCCTTAACTCCCTGCTGATGGGCCTTTCCTGCCTGTGCTCAGCATTGCTCTCGGGAACGTTCAGGCTGCCTGTAATCCTGCCAGTCCAGCTGCCCGGTTGTACAGAACATTCTGGCTGAGGGCTGAAACCAGGACACACAGGTCCCTGTCCCCACTTTGCATGTCCTCAGCCCCTCCGCACAGCTGCGGCGAGTCTGTTGGGCACAAGGAAGCCATTAGTGTAAGGAGACAGCAGGGTAGCTAGTTCTGGGGCCTGAGATGTCACAGAGGAGGAGGGTATTGAGAGATTTGAGGAGCTCCTGAGAGAGGCCACTCCCTCCCGCAGTCTGCATGAATCCAAAACCATGACGCGGAAAAAGAGGGTCTCCTCTGATTTGGGGCTGAGGAGCTGCCTGCTGTGGGCCGAGCTGCCCTTCCTCTGCTTCCTGCCTGAAGGCATCATCACACTCCCCACAGCAAAGTGGAAATCCAAGGCAGGCTCCCTGGGCTGGGGGCCAGGGCACATCCATCCTCTTCCTTCCTCCCACTTTGGTCTTTCACACCGCACTTATGCCTGGTTCCCATGGACAAAACTCCTTCCAGAGACTCTGCTCAGTGTAGAGAGTTTGGCCTTTGGCCTCATTCTCCAGTTGTTCTTTCCTGATGATCCAGGCAATGCTTTCTGGAAGTTCTAGGTCTGTGGGCAGAAAGTAGGTAAGGGGACACATGGGAACACACATGGAGACTGCATTCTCCCCTCTGAAGTGAAGAGAGATTTTTTGCCATGGGAAGAGTGTGAGATTAGGGTTAAGCAGCTGGGTCCTGCACGCTGGTCTCCTAACAGACTACACCCAGGGCGGACAGGTATTTCTGAGCCTCTGAACACGCACCTTCTCCTAGGTGCTACAAGGAGAGAGGAACGTGACGGCGTCCAGAGCCTGAGCCATCCGCCCTCAGTTCCTCTCCTCCCATCAGAGCACGAAGCAGAGCAGTCCCCTTTCTGCACACAGCCAGGGCCTGACCTTAGCCTTACTTCCTTTCTGGGCTTTGCCCTCTGCCCTGTTTCAGGCTCTCTCCACGCAGCTTCTCTCGGTTCCCCTCCTCTTCTTTTCTTCCCACTCTCATGGACTTTTGGCTCTAAGACCTCCCTGGGTACTGCCTTTAGGGTGACTTTCTCTTTTTTGGGGGAGTCACACCCGGCTATGCACAGGGGTCACTCCTGGCTCTGCACTCAGGAAGTACTCCTGGTGACGCTCGGGGGACCCTGTGGGATGCTGGGAATCGAACCTGGGTCGGCCACGTGCAAGGCAAACTGCTTACCCGCTGTACTATTGCTCCAGCCCCGGGTGACTTTCTTAAGAGAGAAGTTAGAGTTCTTGTGTCTTGACCTTGTGCCACTTTTCTAACTGACCCTCCTGGTTTTCTCTCTTGCCTGTGCCCACCCACCTTCCTCGGCTCTTTCCCAGGTCCGATCCATTAGCACCAACGTCCGGAGGAACTTGGCCTTCCACACGCTCAGCCAGGAAGTCCTGCTCAAGGAGTTCTCCACTATCTCCTGAGACCACACTGCACTGACCGGACACTGACTGTCCTTACCCACCAGGGGGCTGTCCCCAAGGCTGGAGAAAACAGACACTGAGTCTGTCAGGATGGCATCAGAGATTGTACAGCAGGGACCAGGAGGGGCTGACCAGGACTGTCCTAACGTGGGGAGGGCTGGGGGGGGCATAGGGAGAAGCTGTCAAGAATGTAGGAGCAGGGGCTGGAACCATAGCACAGTGGGTAGGGCATTTGCCTTGAACGCGGCTGACCTGAGTTTGATCCCCAGCATCCCATAGGGTCCCCTGAGCACCGCCAGGAGTAATTCCTGAGTGCAGAGCCAGGAGTAACCTCTGAGCATTGCCGGGTGTGACCCAAAAAGCCAAAAAAAAAAAAAAAAGAATGTGGGGGCTTCTAGAATGTCTGCCTTGGCACTCCCACACATTTCCAGTTGAAGTAACAAGTTGTAGCTACTGATTAATTTTTAGAAGCTGTTGGGACAGACCTTAGGGTGAAGCCAAGACCCTGAAGGTTGATGACTTGTTTTCCCAAAGCTTCTGAAAACTCTCTTCGATGCAGCTTCCTCTGGGTCGGAATTGCGCTGAGCTGTCCCTCGAGGCCCCCTGTCCTGCCTTCAGGAGGACCCTGAGCTCAGGTGTCGGGCGTGGTGGGAGAGGGCACCTCTTTTCCTCTTTTCTAAACCCTGTGCTGACTTCTGGAAGGCAGGAGGTTAGAACCCACGGGGTGTGCTGCTGTCTGCCACCACTTTTTGGACTCAATCCTCGGCCCCAGGAGCTTGCCACGGACCCCCTCAGCACTCCAGAGTCACCTCCATAGCTTCTACTCAAGTCTGTTCTAAACTGTCTTTAAGGATGCGTGTGAAATAAACATTGACGGGTTTTCTGGATCTCTCAGGTGCCTGCTTCGCTGGTTCCCTTTCCAGCAGCGTCCCCACCTCGAGCCGCCCCCTCCTCTGGAAGCCTCTCCTGCCGCTGTCGAGTTCTCCTCCACGTGTGCCACCCCCTCACCCGGCTGTTGTTTACATCCAGCCTGCCGAGAGTTTCCTCTGGGGAGGAGCGTGTTCCTGCTGTGGCCTGGCACTGGAGGGAGAGGACTGCCCGGGAGGGGCATCTCCATCTGAGATCCCCGAGCGGCCCTCCTGTCCACCTCTCCTGAGGAAGGGGAGCTGGCCTGTGGGTCCTCCTTGGGCCTGCTGTGGTCCTTCTCACCCCACACCTGCTCTGAGATCCTCTTTTGAAAGCACTTTCAAAAGTCCTTGAGGGCAGCCCAGGGCAGACCTGGGAGTCGATACGGGACTCCAGCGGAGAGCTGTAGCCTCTGGTCTACTGGGGGGTGCTTGCTCTCCCTGGCCCGGAGTTCCGGCTCCAGCGACTCACCAGCACGCTGCCACCAACAGAGGCAGATGGGGCTGGGTCATCTCCGATCACCAGAAACTGCTGGGCCTGGGCAAGCAGTGTTTCCACCGAAACTGGTGATCAGCAACCCGAGGGCGGCTGGCAAGTTGAAGTTATTAAAAATTGATTTTCACGGGACAGCCTTTGAAGTGTCTTGTTTCCCTTTCCTTCATAATCTCTGTTCCCCAGAACTCATTTCCCAAGCATCATTTACGATCACATCCAGAGAGTGGGCCCATCTGGACGGGAGACCCTGGCCTGACGCCCAGCCGGGGAGGCCAGCTCAGTTCAGAGAGTTGTAGCCTCGCTTGCACGCTGGGTGAGAGAAGCGAGAAGGGAGTTCTTTTGTCCCTTCTGTGTCAAACTCTGTTCTGATGGTTTAGTTGATGAACTAGACCATTTTGTTTCATTTGTGTTTTGAAGTCAAACCCCGCTGTGCTCAGGGCATATTCCTGGCTCTGTGCTCAGGGATCACTCCTGGCAGGGCTCAAACATTTTTTAGTGCCAGGGATGGAACCCAGGTCAACCACGTGCAAGGCAAGGCCTGCTGCCCTCTTCAGCCCCAGGCCAGACTATCCGGGCTGCTTCCTGCCTTCCTGTTCCTGAGGAGGTTTGCTCCGAACAAGGGCAGATGTCAGGCGCATCCCGCCCCCACCAATAAAGCCCATCTGCTGGCCACCCATGGCCACTAAGCAGGAATCCCATCCTCTCATAGAAATCAACCCCAAAAGGAAGTGCCCACACACTGTCCCTGCCCTGGTGTCTGTGGCAGGTGTGCAGGCCCGGAGAGCCAGGAGCCGGGTGGTTGGCAGCCACCAAGCCTGTTCTCTGCTGTCCTCTCCCCACCCTGCCACCTGCCAACTGAATGGCACAGTTGAAAATTAAACCCAATAAACATGCCGGAGTCTCTTTAGCTGAAGCTGCCAGTCTCAGTAGGTCACTCCAAAGGAGCCATTGGGCGGGCAGGACCTATCACCCGGGCCATTACCACCACACCTAGCAGCCACTGACTCCCCTCCCCCAATTCCTGGGGGGCAGCGGAATGGGGGGCTCACTTCCCGGCTAGCCCGTGACAGACAAGCTTGCATTCAGCATCAGTGTCCCAGGAGCCTGAGATGGCTCAAGCTAGGTCAGACCCTGGAAGTGGAAAAGGAGCCCGAAGGGAGGCGTCCATTAGCCAAGAGGTCACCTCCTCACTGAGTCTTCACGGGACTCCCCCAAACTCGGAAAACGGCCCTGGAGCTGGACAGGTGACCCGAGAGAGAGCCACAGATGGAATGTTGAACGAAAACAAGAAAATCTGGAGAAACTGACCTTCACTCTTCTTTTTTTTTCTCTCCAGCTGGTCGTGGGGGGTCATTAGACGAGGATCTAGGGGAGAAGGCACCCTAAGAGCGCATGGGACCCAGAGACGGGGTCTTGGAGTGGGCGAGACTGGGGCGACAGCTGCAACCCACTGCCCGAGATGAGCCCGTGCCCGGTACCCCCATCCTTCTTCAAGGTGGGGGCAGGCGGGGTCCCACAGAGACCCGCGGCAGGACATGCCGGAGAACGCGGGGCCTGACGGCTGGGCTCCCTGCCCCGACTTGGAGGAGAGCCCGAGTTGGGGGCGGGGTTTCCTTTCCGGCCCGGCTCCGCCTGCACCCTCGGACCCCAGACCCGCCGCCTCGGGCTTAGAGGGTCGCTGCAGAGCCAGTGTCGCTCCCCGCACTCCCCAGCTCACCCTTTCACCGGGTGCCTCCCCCGGGCGGCAGAGAGGAGGGGGCGGCGGAGGGGGAGCCAATCCCGGCAGCGCCCAAGGGGGGAGGCGGCGGTGACAGCCGCGGGGAGGGGGCGGGCGGAGAGGCGGCTCGCTCGGCTCCGCACTCGGCTCCGCTCAGCGGCGGCTCCGCTCTCACCTACTGTCCTGCCTCCCGCGCCTGCCCCGGGGCCCCGGGTGGGACCCCGACCCCGGCTCCTGCCCGCCGCCGGCAGCCCGACCAGACCCTCCGGGCCCTCAGCCCCGGCAGCACGCTCCGCCACCAGGGGGCGCCGTGTGAGCGCCCCATCCCGGCCGCCCGGCGCCCCCTCCCACGGCCCAAGCGGGACGGGAGCGGGGCGCCGGGGGCCATGCGGGGCCAGGGCCGCAAGGAGAGTTTGTCCGATTCCCGAGATCTGGACGGATCCTACGACCAGCTCACTGGTGAGTCGGTGGCTCAGGGACCAAGGGAGGGTCGAAGGTAGATTCCAACCCCCACCCCGAGCCCCTTCCTTCTCGCTGACCCCTGCCAGGCCCTTGCCCACACACTCCCCCATTTCCCAGGCGCCCTCCTGGCTGTCCTGGGTGACTGGACACTGGATTTCCAAACCTTGGGTTCCATGGGGTGGGGGCTCGGGTGGGCGCCGGGTCCGCCGGGGCAGGTGGGGAGAGGCAGCAGGTGTGGGCGTGTGTGACACAAGGCTGGGAGGGGCTGAGCACTTGTCATTCTGTGTGTGTCTGTGTGTGGATATGTGGTTGCCATGTGCCCCATGGCGACAGCCAGGCTGAGTGTGCCTATGTGTGGCTGCGTGCTCGCATGATCCCTGATGTTGTGAGGATCCTGGTTGTACTCATGAAGTTGTTGTGAACGTGGTGTCTGTGTTCTCTGCGCCCTATGTGCTCTGAGTGCGGCTCTGTCTGGACTGATGTGTGGCCGCGTGGGTCAGGCGGCACCTCAGGGTGGTCCAGCCGGCGGTTCGGAAGACGTTTTTGGATGGTGGGCTTGGCGTTGTGTTTTGTGTTTTGTGATGGGGCTGCCATGTGGCTGACCTGGTGGATGCGGAGATGTTGTGCTTTGGCGCTGTCTGCAGTGAGGGGCGGTGAGTGCCCCGACATGCTCACCCTTGCTGCCTCTCGGGGTTTCAGAGCAGGTTCACACTACTCCCTGTATTTTCCACAAAGTGCCTGGGTGACCCAAGGAGGACTCCAGTGTCCAGCTGCCTGTCCGAGTCCCTCTGGGGAAACTTTGCTTAGTGCTGGCCCCCCTTCGGCCCCCCTCAAAAGTTCTGAGATCAATTCTTACAACTCAAATTCCCCCAGTCCCTAAGAACCCTCCAGAACTTTGCTGAAACCCTGTTAAGGGGAACTCTCCCCCCCACCCTTAACCTCTGCACCAGACCAAGGGCAGAAGCTCTAGGCCTGGGCGGGGCATCCCCTCCTGCCCGTTCAGCCGGCCCGTCACTGCCCGGCGCCCTCTCTCCCACACCAGGACGTCTGTGCCGTGTCTACACCTGGCTCATGTGTCTGTGTGGGAGACTGTGTCACCTGTGTACAGCTCCATGTACATGTGTGTTTGTCCCTCTGTGCAGCTCACCCAGGAACTTCAGCACCCAGTCCCTGTTGTCCCGTGTCTGAAAACACTGGCATGTGGCCAGGGGCCAGGATCTGTGTCGGCTGAGAGGAGTGAGCGGAAGGTGGCAGTGGGAGGGTCTGGGAAGGCAGAGCTTTAAGTGTCTCTCCCACTCACCCAGAGAGGGCCTGGACCCTGTGCCAAGACCCCAGCCCCCGAGCACAGGGAGCTTTTTCATTCAAGCAGGCCCACCTGGTAGAGCAGGAGGCGCCCTCGGGGTACCTGATGGACTCTAGGTGTCCACTTATCTGGTTCTGATCATTCCCCTGAGCCCCCTGGGAGTCCTAAAAGTCCCCGGGCGTGCATCAGCCCCACTCGGTCTTTGCCTCCTGCTTTCACTGATGGGCCCCCTTAGAGGACTCCTTCCCTCCCCACTTGGCTGTTTGAATCTGGAGCCCTGTTGAGAGAGGGGAAGCATTCCTCTCCTTGAACCTCACTTTTCTCCTCTGTAAAATGGGGGTTGCTGCCTGCTTCCCGAGGTAGAAGACAAGAATGGTGGTGCCCATGCTTCCCATCCTCGCCACGGAGAACTTCACACACGGCTCAGGAAGTTCAAGTAGGATCTTTCCGGGCCTCCTTCCTGAGGAGGATTTATCCTAGGCGGGAGAGAAACTGGGCTCCGACTTGGCCCTGATGGTGCTGCGGAGGGCTCTTGCGAGCCTCCGAGCTGGAGCGTTCAAGGGGAGTCGTTGTCCGCGGTGCTGAAGAGTGAGCGGGATCTTGCAAGCTCCGGGATGCCTTCCGGGTGGAGGGACTCCTGGAATGGCCAGCGGGAATAGGATGTCTTCAGCCTCCGTCCTCCTACCCAGCTCAACTTAGACTTCTGGGCATCCTAGGACTCCGCCGCGAGTCACTTCCTTCCCCGCGCCACCTCCGACTCGAAACAAAGCTGCAGGAGACAGTTTTGGGGGATGGGCTGGGGGGGAATCTACGCCGCACCTCTTCCCGCATCTGATTCTCGCCCCCGCTCCCCAGGTTTTCTCAGTCCAGAAGGGGCAGGTAGTGTGACGGGGCGACAGGAGCCAACACTCAGCGGAGATCCTCTCCGAGTTAGGAGCGAAGAAAGGGCACGTACGGCGTGGGGAGGAGAGCGGGGACGTGGGTGCAGGCCTGAGCGCCGGTCCCTGCGCCCGAGTTCCCAAGACCCGGGACCCTGCTAGCATCGTTCCCCGGAGTAGGGCGCCCCCGTGTGGTCTTGGCGGAGACGTGCCTACGGAGCGGGTTCGGGGTCGAACTGTCCCCAAGCAAACGGATTTGCGTGAAGTTGGGAGGCGACGCAGCACCTCGGGGGTGTCACTCTTCGCCTGTCACTCGGGGAGACCTGGCCAGCGTTTGGGTTTTCTGCCCCAGCTGCTGGATCCCAGCTAGAAGGAGGGAATGAGGTAGCCCCCCCCCAGACCCCCGGAGGCTCTCCGGGGAGTTTAGATCCTGGGAGGGTTTACTCGGGGGTCTGAGATGAATGAGTCCGGGCTGGGAGTCAGGAAGGACAAAGAGAGATTCGTGGACGCCGGAGAGTCTGCGTGGACCCTCAGGACCCGCAGGGTGTGACACAGGGGCGCGAGGGACTTAAGGTGCAGGAGAACGCGAGCATTTGCCAGACGGGCGCTCTGGCCGCCGCCTTCGCTCCTCGGTCTCGGGTCCAGCAGGGTGGGGCGTGGCCATGGCAACCGTGCCCGCTTTCCCGGCTTCCGGGGTCCGCACCCGGGCGCGGCAGCGGAGGAAGCGGGATGCTCAAAGCCTGCGAGTGTCCCCCAG